ATCGGTACAAATTTTCCCTCGCTCTCACAACATAAAGCAATGGGAATCTGGATATTTCATCCTGGAAAGATTGTCAAAAATGGGTGGTCGGCGAATTGAGCTCTTCTATAAGAGTCACCGGGGTAGAAATGTGCAGAGGATGGGTCATCATGACCCGAACATGAAAGATTGAAGTAGAGAAAATAACGCCGTGCCGCGACGTTAACTAAAGCGCTTCTTGGGAGGCAACCCATGCAATGTACGTTTATTTCTTCATTTTTTTTTTCTTCTTTGCACTTTAAAAAAAAGTTTTTGAAGTAAAATTGGGAACAAACCCGGCCAGGTATATACCACACCCGTTCAGGTAACAAAACAATGAAGGAATACCCGGGCAACACCCCAGGCAGGTGAAATTTTTATAAAACCAAAAAAGAGCTAAAACCCGACCGGGTATGCCTGAAGTAAACTTATTGAAGGTAAGATTATTGAAGTTATTAAAACCAAAAAAGAGCTAAAACCCGACCGAGTGGAAACTTATTTGATCAAAGATGGCACTTTCTGAAGGTAAAATTATTGAAGTTTTTGTTCTAACATGAATATAAATAATAATAAATGTGAGTATGTGACTTTGTATCTATGATAGAGAAATACCCGAGTACTAAAAAAACATAAGTCCATAATTCATTATTTCAAATGGGATGTTATGAAAAAACTAGAGTATTTACATTGTAAATGATTTGTAAAGTTTAAAAGTAACATGTCAGTAGATATATATTTTGTGGAGAATTATGTAGCATTATTAGTTATTTCAAATGTACGAAAAATAACTTGGATCGGTTGTGTGAAAATTAAATATCAAATAGAAATTAATTTGAAATGTTTGTAATTTAAAGTTTAGTAATTTTATAGGAAGATTTACCTTAATAGTACCAAAACATGGTTTTTTTTTTTCAAAATAGGACCAATTAGTTTAAACATTCTTAAATAGGACTTTTTATGTGTGATTGGACCAAAATACCCCCACTGCTGCCCCTAGACTGCTGCCCCTGGACCTCCGGCCAGCCGCCTGCCGCCAGACCTCCGGCCACCACCGCCGATGCCGGAGCACCGCCGGAAAATTCCAAAAAATATCTGGCAGACTGCCAGATTCTGCCGCCGAAGTTCTCCGCCGCCGCAATGGTGTTTATCAGAATTTATTGTTTATTTATTGTCTACTTATTATTTATTTAATGTCTATTATTTTCTTGCCGCCGCCGGAAACCGCCGCCACTGCCGCTACGCTGCCGCCGCCACTGCTGGACTGCCGCCTGCCGCCGCCGCCGTAAAAATTCCATTTTTTTTGGAGCTTTGCCAACATTCTGCCGCCACCTGCCGCCGGTGCCGGAAACCGCCTCTTCCGCTGCCGCCACCTCCGGACTGCCCGGCTACCAACGGACTGCCTTGGTTGTTGTGCAAGAGAACTGGGGGGGCAATTAATTGGGTTAATTAATTGCCGGAGTTGCCGCCGCCGGCCGCTGTCGGAGTGCTGCCACCACCACGGACTGCCCCGTCACCGACGGACTGCCTTGGTTGTGCAAGGAAACTAGGAGGCAATTATTTAGATCAATTAATTAATTAAATAGAATTAGGGGTAAAAAACATGCATATGGTCCTATTTTGAGAAAAAGGTTGAGTTTTAGTCCTATGTTGGACAATTTTCTCAATTTTATATCTCAGGAAGATGAAAAGTACACATTATTATTCATAAAAGGTTTAATTATCGAGAGTATTTACTAATTACTATTGAAGTATTAAATATTTTTAACTACTTCCTATGTTCCAGAATTATCTTCATATTTTTCTTTTCGTCTATCTCAAAATTATCATTTCTTTCCTCTTTTGGCAAAGAATTTGTTGTTCATAATAATTCTTACACATTCTTTTCTCCCCTGTAAAACTGTTCACCATACAATCCTCACTATCTTAATATGTGTGTCATTTGTACTATAGAAGATGAATTTGGGACGACGAGAGTATGTTGATAAAGTAATTAAAAAAAATAAGCTGGAGAGATTCGACCAAAATCTGTAACTTAATAAGTAAATTGGAAATAGCTATAAATGATTCACTCATTGTAATAATTAAGAGCCCAATTGCTTATCATGATTTTTACCAAATACGCAAGTTTTGATTTCACGCGCTGAATTGTGCAATAATAAAAAAAAGTAGGTTAGAGTTACTTTTTTGACTGTATTGACTGAAGTTCCTATAGAGAATCATTTTAGCTATTTTTCATATAATTGTTTCTTTCTTTTATTAGTAATTTTTTTCAAAACAGTTTTTTCATAAATTTACAGAATCAGTCGATCAACCAATTTGAGTCAAACTTCAAAAATTTCAGCAGAATCAACCGATTCTTCCAATTTCAGCGTTACTAAACGGGTTTTAAGTATCTTCTTCTAAAATTTCACATAGCCTTTTTAAATACATTTACCCATTTTCATTCCACCTCTCACATATCATTAACCAAAAGTAATTATAGTATATGATTTTTTGGTGAAAATTCTGTAATCAGTATTATCAGGTGCACCAATTCTCAGACAGGGCAGAAGGTCGAAGTATCGCCGTCGGACCTCTCCTTCACCAGCTTCCAATTAGATTTAAAAGGTGAAAAAGTTCATTCGAAATACCTATGCATACGTTTTCTTTTGGAATACACCCTTCGGAATACCGTCTTTTTTGCTTCTCCGTTTTCAAGAAAACACCGCAATTCAATCAGTAGAGCTATTTCATCCTGTCATTTATGGAACGGAAGGGAAAGGCACCCGTTGCAGATAGGTTTCGTCCTACTGAAGAAACACTACTTGTCAAGAATTTCCTTCTTCCAAAGGTCAACGGTCGGGAATTCCAGCAAGGTCTCATCCACGACGCTAACGTTTACAGGAAGCAGCCGTCCGATCTTCTTCTTGAATACCCGCCGCAACCTGGAGAGGTGTACGTCTACTTCTTCACAGAGATAGACAAAACGAACAAGAACAGGTCAGTAAAACACAACAGTACGGATGACAACAAGGGTCGTTGGAAGGTTACAGGTAGTACAGCGCTAGTCAAAGAAGGGTCGACGGTGATCGGAAAAAGGAGGGTTCTTTTTTACAAGATTTTCGGTCCTCGTAAGAATAAGGCGAAGAAGGAATGGATCATGCATGAGTACAGTTTAGATGATAAGTACGTGGATCACTTAGTCAACGATGTAGTGCTGTGTAGGATTTTCAAAAAAGAATCAGAGAACCGAGATCTTGAAAGTGGTGAAAAATCTGGGGATGATCGAGCGGGCAAGATCGCCAGGACTAATGTTGACTTGTCAAAACCCTCACCGGGCAATAATGATCAGATGATGAATGGCGCACAGTTGTTACCTCTGGCGCCGCCGTATCCGTCGTTTCATGATTTGCAACCGCCGTTTAATGATTTGCAGCCGTCGTATCCGCCGTTTCTTGATTTGGAGTGGCCGTCTTTTGATTTTCGGCCGTCGTATCCGCCGCTTCTTGATTGGCCTCCGCCGTTTCACAGTGAGGTGGTTTTGGCTTGGGGTGATGGATCATCAACATGTCCACAAACCTCCGACAAGATAAACACTAGCGTTGGCTCGTCAAGCCCTATGGGTCCCGAAACCGCCGCATCAGGCAGTAGTTCTTTGGAGGTTAATTTGCAACCGGCTGCACCATCATTTCTCCCGCCGTCGGCAGTTGATTTGCAACCGGCTGCACCATCATTTCTCCCGCCGCCGGCAGTTGATTTGCAACCGGCTGCACCATCATTTCTCCCGCCGCCGGCAGTTGATTTGCAACCGGCTGCACCAGTGACCGGACTAATTAATGAAGAGACGGCAGAAGATCGTATGGCCACCTCTGATCAGTGTGACTACGATGATTATTGTGATACACTGGAGGAGATAGAAACGATCGATCCCATATTTTTGGGCAGCTGATTTGTCACTTAGGAGTATTATATTACTAGCAGCTGATTTGTCACTTAGGAGTATTACTAGCGGGCTGCGCACTACGTGCGAATAATGCCCAACATTTTATTATTAGTTGTCTAAATTTGTATCTAAATTTTTGTGCAATCACTCTATAATATATATACATGCCTTGTAAGTTTTATAATTATTAGTTTTTGACTTTTTGCATGTATGTTATTGTATGGAATTTTTGGAATAAACCTTTTTTATAACACTTGTTGACATTTTTTGAGTTATTGTTTAATTTAATTTGCATAAATGTTAATTTGGTTAGTGTGTAGTCTATTTGGATAGGAGTACTCCTAATTTAGTATGACATAATTTTATACGTATTTCTTAAATGTACAAAGACAATAATAAGAGAGTATTGGAATTTCCGTATTTATTGTGAATTACTCCTAGTCAAAAAGTTAAGAAAAAGTTGAAGTATGGTAGTGGCACAAATAAGTATAATATTATGTACGTGACACAAGAAAAAAATAAAATCTTAAGACTAAAGAAATCGTGATATTAAATTCTAACATTGGCATATCTTTAATAAGAGTGTATCTAACTTGTTTACCATAATTTAGCCGTTGCAGATTGCTGTAATGTGACGGGAGTACATTTCTGTAATGTGTTGTGGAGTACGTACTACATGTGAATATGCTTAACATTTTTAAATTACATGCATAAATTATTAATGTTATTGGTATGTAGAAATGACACTCCTTATCACACTTTGAATACATGTAGAATTGATATTTAAAAGATATAGAATATGCAAGAATGTTTTGATATATTTTAAAAGGGATTTATTATTTTCATAAAATTTGCATGAATGATTTGCATTAGAAATGCTATTAATTCAATGACACAAAATTTAATATTTTTCCCTTAAATGTGCAAAGTCAACAAATTATAATGAAGGTACTTCCTGTAGGAAATGTGAAGAATTTATGGTAATGAAGTCAAGATGTAAATTGAGTTTATGAAAACGGCACCACACACAATAATAGTACAAGATACAAGGAAAACAAAATTTTAGACCAAAGAAATTATATTACTATGATAATTAAATTAATATAAAAGTGCTTCTAACTTTATGATAGTGTATAAGTTGTAGTAAGTTTACATTACAGTACATTGTATAGGCTTACATCCAAAGGTCATACCTAGGTTACTCCTAATTATTAGTAATCAACTATTTAAATATTTAATATGCATCAAAGTTATAAGTTTCAAATACATAGATAATCATTAGTAAGATCCCATAGTTAAATTAGCTTGAATCTAACATTTTTGGTGCTTCTTGCCTTTGTTTTTGCCTGAGGTTGTTGCAATTGTTGGGAGGTCAGGCAAGTGTGCTTCTTTGTATTGTGAGTCATTGTTCTCGCCTCCTATGAGCTTCCTCTTTCCTTCTGGTGAATTTGGTAGCACATTGTCATGCACAACAGTTGACTGAGCATCACTGCATGTAGGAATATCTGTCGGAAAAGAAAGAGAAAGCACAGAAAAATTCTTTTTTGCCTTTGAATGAATATTAGGACGCACTATTTTAAGCGCAACAATGAAAGTGAGAGCCTTGACTTTATCATTCAAGTCAGAACTGTTAATGCAATCCGGATTGATGTTAATTTCTAGCATCCGTAACAACTTGTACACTTCATTGGTGAATAGATTTGTTTGCAGTTCCCCAGTTGCATCAGATAATTCAACACTCAATCGGAATCTGCAATTATGTGGTATTAGTGATATTTGTGCTTTATTAATAAAAGATGAGAAATTTAAACTTCTAAGATTTACCTCTTTGTGCTAACTCCATTAATGTTACCACAATTCAAACATTGAAAATGAACACCTTCAACCGTTGAGTTAATGCCTTTATTGCAGCTATTGCAACCGATGTAAAACGGAATGTAACCGTTTTCCAGAAATCTTAAGGTGCTCAAAATCCAAAACACCCTAGTCTATATGATCAAAAAATAATTAAGTTTCTCTATAACAAATTATTGTCAACTAATTAAATAAGAGCAATTTCTTCATTGTTGGGAGTATAGGTTACCTCGTCCACACTGCTCTTGACATCAATGACATGAGATTTAGATTGCATTTCCGGTAGTGCAAACCTAACAAGTGAGTCCATGTACAGTTGTTCGGTGTTCATTTTCTGAATAGCTTGAGCATTAGCAGACCTCCTATTAAGTAAAACTCTACAATTAGTTGTCTTTTTCAAAAAAAATCTAATTTTATACCTCAATATAGTGTACATAAGTTAGTAAAAGTGTATTCAGTATAAATCACCATTGTTTTAATGCAGTAGCATGTTGGTTATCAGGATATAGCTCTATACATGTGTCATATCTTGTTGATAATGATAATCCTGCACATATGTTCAATGTATTGAAGTAATAAAGTAAATCAAACATCAAACAAATTCATGTAAGACAAGATTAATACATTAAGATACTCATAGAAAGGAAGAAAGAAATTTTTGTTGCTTAATTTGTGAAAATTTTAATAGTGTTTTTTAGACTGTGCAAGTATATGTTTTTTAGAAGGTAAGAGAAAGTGAAAACTGTAAACAGATTGGGTGCCAATGCTTATCAATAGTTACTAATAGATTACTTGTACCTTTAATTAAAATTGAACATGTATACATCTTTATCACCAAAATTTCATATATTCCTCCTAAAACTATATCAATGAAATCTGTGTATGGATTTAAGGTTTCATATTGTTATTCTTCAATTACTTGACATTTTTGAATTAACAAAATGTGTTATTTTAATAACATTGTTTTCAAATTTATAATGTTAGGTAATAGAGCTAGATGGCCACAACCTTGAGTTGTGGAATGAGAAATGAGTATAGCTGGAGTTTTATTGCACCATGAGTATAGTGGGAAGCTTCAGGATCCCATTGGGAGATGTTAACTTGATATTGAAGTCAGATTTGTCTATTTTAAAATTTTCAATTAGTAAATAGTATGCGTGGGCGTGTGTTTGTTAAGCAACTTACAATTTATTATTAACCTGCTATTTTTTAAATAATGGGTTATTATAATTACATGAGGGTGAATGTGGTTGTGCAAGTTTATATTGAATTGTATTAGTTAGAACATGTGCTTGAATAATTCGTGAGAAAATTTAAAAAAAAATGCACTTTTTAATTCTCAGGATTGTACGTAAAATCCATTATAGATAACTATAATAAACTATATTTATTTAGTGTTTTTGGAAATTTGTAAATAACTACATTAGTTTATCTAAATATCACCTTGATATGTAGTCGCAGCAACACGCTTAGCAAGAACAATTGGATATATTCCAGCTTCCAGTAAGTTCTGAATCTCAACACCTTGAATGCTAGCACATTCATCCCACATTGTGAAAATGATTGGTTGCGATCTAAAAACATATTAGTTTAGTTAGTATATTGAAGTCGATATGAATAAGTGAAAACAATGTACTTTTTTGTGTACTTACTTCTCATCAACAAAGATAAAGTCATTTGCTTGTTTCTTCTTCTTCTCTGTGACAACAAACTCGCGTGGGAGTTTATAGATAATGGCACCGAGCACATCTGCAAAGGGTTGAAAATATTTTTATTTAGGGAATTTCTTTTTTAAGTATTTATTTATCATGACTACAAAGACCTTTGGTTTGAGAACTATAAACTTACTTATAGTGTCCCTTTTAATCATGGAGTTATAGAAGAGAGAAAAGGGTGTTGTAACTATTTCAGCACTTTTCTGCACATCTATTTTATCCTCTTCATCCACATCTTGAATCAATGTCCTTCTATTGATGGACCAAAGAAATTTGTAATGTTCATCAGGAACATTGAAATTTGGGTAGACCGCAGTGACCAATGCATTAGATATGTTGTAGGTCCTGTACAGTTCTAATCTTTGGTCCACAACAGAAATATCTTGCCCATATGCCATGGCCTTAACCTTGTTTCCCTATATAGAATGTATTCACATTAGGTTTAAATTGTGCATTGATTGTTGTATTTCTTAACTTTTAATACTTACAACAATATCTTGAAGCACAAATGGCTTGTACAATTTTCCTGGACTTTTTGATGATTCACGTATGTTGAGCTTTTCCACAATTGAAACTTTGCAAGTCCAAGAAGCTAATTGAGGAGTGATGTCACTTATTAAAAGTGAATCAGCCATGTTTTAGCTTTTCCTGAAAGAAAAAATAAAGGAATTGTTAACATTGAATTTAGCAAGTAAATAAAAAGGGGACAATTTGTCTAACATAATTACATAAAATAAAACTTACAATTTTTTGGTAGGCAATGTCATAATTTATAAGTGTCAAGTGTGAATCAATTTGGTGCAATGTATTGGAGTATTTCTTGGTACACTATATTTTCTGTTTCATTTGTTGCCTTTCCATTGTTGTTTTTATTAATGATAAGCATTTTTATGGATGATGCATTTTTTGCCCTTGACATGGCAACATATAGTTGTCCATGACTAAACACTGGTTCTTTTAAATAAATTCCAACAAAATCCAAGGTTTGACCTTGTGATTTGTTGATTGTCATTGCAAAGCATAGCTTCACTGGGAATTGATTCCTTTTGAAGGGGATAGAACATCTTTCATCTTTAGATGTCTCTAGAGGAATTCGGGGAATGAATACGTGTTTTCCTTTGTGTTCACCAATTGCAATATAACAGCTGATTATATGATCGCCAAAAGAATCACATATTAATCGTGTTCCATTACATAATCCTTCAGTTGGATTTATGTTTCTCAATAGAATGATTGGGCAATGTTTCTTGAGTGTTAAAGAGTGTGGTGGCATTCCGGCGAATGTTAATGTGTGTAGGTAGTCTTGGCAATTTAGGTATCTTGAATCTATTGGTTCATCATAACTCAAAAAAGTTTTGGACTCTCCTTGGAAGCGTGATATGATATTTGTGTTGATCTCGTCTACAAATTCATTTTTCGTTGTTAAAATTGCCCTTCCCATCAACAAATATGGATCTTGGTGAAATACAAATAAGTTGGGATAAACTGAATTAATTAAACACATCAATGGATCTTGTTTTTTGGAACATGAAACAATGAAATGTGATGGTATTTTTATTGTGTTGTTTAAGCTTGGTTGTAGTGATCCATTTCCTAGCTTCATTAAATAGTCACAAAATTGTGGATCCGTTTGAGCCCTCATATTTTGCACAAGTGATAATCGAATTATTTGAGGCCATACGGTCAACGATTTCACTAAGCATGCATCAATAAAGTCCTCTTTTTTTCCAGAGCGAACAACCGGAAGAGTTTGTCTTAAATCTCCCCCAAATACAATTACTTTTCCACCAAATATGTTGTCAGAACCCATTAGATCTCTAAGGGTTATGTCAAGTGCTTCGATAAGTTTCCGGTGAGCCATGGAGACCTCATCCCATATAATTAATTTTGCTTGTTTAAGTAGATGAGCTTCCGCACTTTGTTTGCCAACATTGCAAACATACTTATTTTCTCCATCTATAGGCAATTTGAATCTGGAGTGTGCAGTACGACCACCTGGAAGAATGGAAGCTGCAATGCCAGAAGTTGCTGTTGCGAGTGCGATCCATTGTTTAGATCTTACCGTCGCGAGCAATGTTCTATAGAGATAGGTTTTTCCTGTGCCACCTGGACCATCCACAAAGTAAACTGCTCCTAATTGATTCAATATGCTCTCCATGATTGTTTCAAATGCATATTTTTGTTTTGCATTGAGTTTGGTGATACTTTGAAGATCAGTGTCTGTGACTTTAACACAATACTCAGTTCGTAATTCTCGACTATACTTTTCTATCGATGATGAAGATAAATCGAAATCGACTAATTGATATTCATCCAAAGATTTTCCGAATTTTTCTAAGATCTCACCTATTAAACGTAATACAATTGATTCAATCTCTTCCTGGTTGTATAAACCTGTTCTATTGAAGTCGTCACATAGGTAAGCCTTAAATTTCTGCCACAAATCCCTCGGATCCGGAACCGTACAGAAAATCAATATAGTTGCAAATAGATTACGGAGACTTTGTGGTAGTTGATAGGTAATTGCTTCACTTAAGCCAGCTTCAACAGATGAATTTCCAGTTAAAAGCCCTAACTTTTCTGCTGCTTCTCTAAAAGTAGATGTTCTAAAACCATTAACTACTTTTAGATCATCAAATGAAGTCGGTGCTCTTACATTTTGAAGCAAAATTCGCAGGTAATAACGCTCACTGTCTGCGGGATTCACATTTACAACTCTGCCAATGACATGTTTGCTTTTACGTTGTGTCCAAGATCTGGTAGTGGTGGACCAAACAAAATATTCCGGAAATTGTATATATAAAAGATTGAGTGTTTTCGCAACCACATTTGTAGAATTCATTTTGAAGTATTCTGTTAACATAGTTCTTGATTGAGCATCATCTTTTAGTATGGTTGTAATTTTTTGACCGCCACAGAAGTTTATGTATTGAAAATTTTCCAGGTGCACTTGCAATTGGAAAACAGAGGGATTCATCTCAGCTATTTGAAACGAAAATATTCTCCAAGCGGCCTCTGGTGCTGAAACCCAGCGGGCTTTTTGAAAATCTTGTATTTCATCTATCTCTCCCCCACCATCACAATCCGTTAAGCTCAGACTCACCCTATCATGTCCCTTGTACACGTACTTATATAAGTACTTCACAGACTTTATAGTAGCACATAGCTCTACATTCATATGACAATCATATTTGAGTAGTAATTGTGGGTTATAGGGTACTACCCATGAGTTGTCAAGTGAAATTCCTTTGATGTCAACTACCATATCATTTTGTCGTCTGCGATAGATTGGGAATGAATCTTTGTCAAACATAGTTTCGGTACAGTATGGACGAGGGTAATTGTTTTTGCAAGATAGAGGAAGGTGTTTTTGTTTTTGGATCATACAAGGACATTTTAGGTTGAGGGAACCACAAGGTCCATGAATCATGTGTTTTTTAACGAGATCGTACAATCGAGGTTGATTTTCTTTGCAAGGTATCTCAGCACAAATGAAGTCATCACAACGTTTGGGTTGAGATATTTTAGAGTTAGGTGTTAATATGATGAGAAAATGTGCATGTGGTAAACCACGCTTTTGGAACTCAATGACGTATATATATGCAGCAACCTCACCAAAAAACTTTTTCTTGACAATATCATTCTTTAACTCTTGTAGTCTAGCGTGAAATATTCGAGCAACTATGTCTGGTCTATTTTGTGCCTCATCAACATGTTGAAGTAGTTCTTTTATTTCTGGCCAATTTGGATTGCAAGTCATTGTTAAGAATATATCTGGTTTTCCGAATTGTTGAACTATAGCCATAGCATCGAGATATCGTTTTCGCATGTCTCGAGGTCCACCTATAAAAGATGCTGGTAAAATGATTCTTCGTCCAACATCTTTACCATACACCATTCCGATATTCATACTATCAACTATTCCGTGGTATGTCTCTGATCTCAACTCATGTTGGCGAAGCCTATAGTAATCAAGTCTTTGCGTTTCTATTTTCACGTAGATATCAACAATAAATTGTTGCAGTAATCTTCCAGTGTGTAGCAACATACCCCTATCGCTAGGGCGTACTTGAAGCTTGTAGGAATAATATTCTCTACAAGAAACTGTTTTTCTTTTTCGACTTTGTTGAAAGTTCCTTTCCTCTTCTTGGATAAGATCATCGGGATTGTTTATTAAATTGATACTTGTTGTTATGGATTGTAGACTTGTTGTGTTTTGGTTGACAATGCCACCTCTATGAGTAACTTTTTCAATGCCTTCATGCCAACCAATGTCACCTTTGGGAAACAATAGAGGATATTGTAAAGGATCGTAACATCCATAATAATATTGGATGTTTTTAGATTGTCCACTATGAGCATAAACCCTAATGTGTCTTTTCCTTGGTATATCCTCATAAGAGTCATCAATCCAAAGTGCAGCTACTTGAGAAACAGAAGGGGTGTTATAGACTCTCTGATCTAAACCAGCATCAGAATTTAAGGTGATGCTAAATTCATTTTCACAAGATACATTACCTAGGCTTTTGAAGAACTGGGCATATGGATTACATGTTAGAATTTGGACTATAGTGCTCACAGTTTCCTTATCTAACCTATCGCAGCTTGCTAGGCGGTTTGAAATTTGGTGATCAGTGTCAAAAAAGTACATTTGGAGATTATGGGGTTGGGAAGAATCTGGGATTAAATCATCGATGTAATGATAAATTTGTCCCTGGACTTTGAATGTATATATCCCTTTGTTTCTACGGCACAAATCTCTAGCGTAGTTATAAATACCTATAGAAGTGAACGCAAATGTATTGTTATACGTCCTAACAGAGGCTTGAAATTGTCTGGCTTGAGTATTTTTGCCAATAAAAAGATCCCTTAGGGCAGAAGGCATTTCATTGGATGCAAGAACAACTTGACCTTGACAACAACAAAACCCTAATGATTCAAACTGTATACGTGTGGCGCCACAGAAGGAACAATTAGGAATTTTGTTTAAGGAAAAAGGTAGGTCACGATATTTATATACGATTGATGTATCTGTGATTTACAGTATCATATAGTGATGGTGTTTTGTTGTATTTGATGTGTGGGTATATGTGATATTAGTAACATCAAATATATTTGGAGCAATAGAAATGATATAGAATTAATTGTTTTTATTGTTGGGTGTATGATTATTAGAGACTAAAGAAATTAGTTAGGGTTAAAACTTAGTAAAAATATCAAAGGTTTCAAAGAATATAGGAAGAGGTAAATAACCTGGTTGATGTTCATTATTATGGTTGTTTGGTTTTTGGTGCAATTTCTTTTCATAATTTCGTAGCCTTCGCCGAAAGTTTCGGTTTTCGCGGGGTTCCTGTACTTTGGTGTTATTTGATGAACACTCACCAATTTCCATTGTTGTTTAGTGTATATAAATGTAAAACGGTGGTTTATCTTATGGTTTATGGTATGGATACGGTGTCCTGGTTATAAAAATAAGGATTATTAGGAAGCAATGCTGCAAACTATATTCACATATCGAATTGAAATGCGTATGAAGGGTTGTATTTGTAAAGATAAGGAAAGAAACTGACCTTTATATTGAACTTGTAACTCTTGTTGCAGGTACCTATTGAAAATGACAATGTTAAAATGCTTAGTTTCTTCATGTGTAAATGTCGTTGATTGAATGGTAAAGTAAATGAGCTTGGTCGAATGATGTGGGCCTTTTGTGTCCTTATAGTTGTTGTTTTCGATATTATCAAATTGATAAGAAAGTATAAACTTAAAGAAAATCTGAAAAATATTTCAAAGGAATTGACTACTTTTGTATCAAATTTATATTGGAGACGATTGGAATTCTAAACAAACATGTTTGTAACGAATAAGTGAAAAATATGGAATAAAATAGGCAGAGTAAATTACTTAGCACTAAAATGAGATTAATAACTAAACACTTACAATATTGCATGACATACTACCAATTACTTAACATTTGTAAATAAGAAAATTCTTAATTTGTTGAATCAGTTAATGACAACACTTTTTATATGCTTTTATTGTTGTTACATACTTTTATCTTTTCATGTATAACACCATTGTTTAAGTTAAGGAACTGTGATTATGTATTAATGTTGTATAATTGGAAATCTGTTTTCTTTTGTGCATAAAATGAACTAAATTCAAGGACTACCCAACTATACATTATTGAAATGCATTGACATTAAACCAACATTTTTAGTGATAAAAACATATAACTTAAAGGTCTAAGAGTTATTTAGTTAAGAAGTTTCAAGGGCAAATGATCCCTAAGAAATATTTAGTTTTTGGTTGATTTTTTGTGAAGTGGATGAGTTTTTTGGGTTTTTTTGGGAGGATTTCTCACTTGATTATGCTCTAAAACTCTCAATGAAAGCACCATTGATGGATTAAAGGGGTATCCAAACTATAATAAAATGGAGAGATTTGAGCTAATGAGAGGAAGAAGATGAATGAATAGTAATGTATGAATGAGTTGTGATTTAGGTTTACAAGAACTCCCTAAGGGAGTATATATAGAAGAATATCCAGGTCTAGGCCTCTAATATGGCCTGACAGACCCGGTCACATAAATGGACTGATAATATAAAGGTTAATCTAGAACACCTGAATAATAATAATGTACAATAATGAAAATGCTATCAGCTGAGTGTACGTGGGCCGCTGTCTGGGCCCAATAGTCATGAGACCTGGGGGTCCGAGTCTATATACTCCATCACTTGTATAATTGGAAATGTGTTTTCTTTTTGTGCATGAAATGAGCTAAATTCAAGGACTACCCAACTATACATTAATGAAATGCATTGACATTAAACCCACATGTACACTACGTGTGAATAATGCCCAACCTTTTCTTATTAGTTGTCTAAATTAGTATCTTAATTTTTGTGCCATCACTCTATAATATATACATGCTTTGTAACTTTTATAATTTTTAGTTTTTGAATTTTTGCATGTAGGTTATTGTATGGACCTTTTGGAATAAGGTTCTTTTATAATACTTGTTTGATATTTTTTTAGTTTTTGTTCAGTTTGCATAAAATATGCAGTCTAACATATTGACTGCAAGCATTTCTTAACTGAAGTGGCATTTTTACAAACACTTTGTGGGCGTAAAGGCTTTTAAGTAATCTGTTCTTTGTGAATCGAAATTTAAAATTGTTAAATTGAGTTTACACATACGGACTCTTTCCTGAAATTTACAGGTGTATAGGTGGCAATCTATTAAGCTTTTTCTTTAAGGGGTTGAGAAACTTCTCATGAAGTAAGAAATATCGAAAATTAGTTATAAATAGACACTTAAGCATCCTCCTGAGGAAAAAGCATCAGAGAAGAACTTAATAAAGAAAATACCTAAGTTGAGGTGTAGTACATTTTTTGAAGTGGTAAATTTGTAAATGTCTATATCAATGTAAGCTATTTAACATACGTAAAAAAATTAATTGAAGCCAACTAACAGTTATTAAAGTTGTTATAAGTTTTAAAAATAACATTTCAAATGCAAAGATCATGATTAAAATTTGGAAATGGTGTTTAAAAAATAGAAATCTTTAAGTCACAAAAATTAAAAAATGAGGATAAGAAAATCCCAGTAAGCAAATAAGCTTGTACTACTGAAGATTCATTTGGGTAGTAACGACTTGAAGTAACGACTGCTGATACTGGGAAATCTTGACTATCCGATACAGGATAGAAAGACTGATAAACGAGAAGCAACCAACATCTTGACCTTCTCGCAACAGGCCATAACCAAATTTTAGTTCCATTAACTCATAAGAGAGGGAACGGGGAGGGGGGTCTTAATTGTACATGAAGACTCTACATATCAGGGAACTATTATACGACTGCAAAATTAAGACCTCTCGAACAGAACCACAAACATAAAACGATCAACATGACAGAAATAATTAATTAAAAAAATAGAAGCCTCTTGGATCTGAAAAGGGGATCTTTTGTATGTATGTACATACCAGTAGTTAATATTAAAAACCAAAACAAATAAAAGGAATTGATTCTTAGTTGTTAAATCGTGTAATCTATAATGCATTATATGGACTCAATTGATCTCATATAGAGTCATCCACTTTATCTAATGAATTCACAACATTGTATAGTTATGTTAAAACATTCGAAATTTTCAAAGCTATTTACACCAATCTTTCATAAATATGCAAGTCAACCCAAACAGGGCAGGGAAAATATCAGAAGGAATGAACATCATAAAATGAGTTAATTAGAACACATGAACCCATTAAGATGGAAAGTTAATAAATAATTTATGTAGATACATACTAAAATTTGATAACGCTATAACACTTACCTTACTATGTTGTAGTCCTTAGTAGTTTGGACTAATTTAAATAAGAATACCAAATCAGTCTAATTTTTCGTTTTTTCAGTTATTAAAATATCTAATTTTTAACCTTTCCTAAGTTTAAAAATGCCCTAACATTCCTTAATTGTCTGAAAAATATCAGTTTCCTTTAAAGTTCTCAGTAACTAATAATTTTGTAAAGTTTTATTGTAATTAGGAACATAGCTTTTTCAGGACCACTTGAGATATGGTTTGAGCACATATGTTGTCCAGTTCGTCTGCGTTGACAGTTTGTTTATCAAGTAAATTTGGACTTTTGTTTGGGCAGATTTAGAATGCATTTCAGTCAAAAAAATGTCAATGTAGACATTGAAACACTCTCCTCATAAAAAAAAGCAGCACAGAAGAGCCTAATTAAGAGAACATCTATGTTGACTTGTAACACCTTTTATTTGTTTTCTTATTGAAGTGAAAAACTTATAAAACCAAGAGATTAGCAATAGTTGACTGTTGACTTCAAACAATGTTTAATTTTGGTTGAAAGTTTATGAAACCTAGAGAAGCAGATTTACCCAGTCATTTGAAGCATAGGTGATATAAATCTTTTTCAAGCATGATAATGCTCTATTGTTAAAAAGTGCATTCCAGTATAATGTCTACTACATCTTTAAAGTTTAAATACATGTATTTCAAACATTTTGTAGCATTGTTTCCCATGAAGCATCTTTACTAAATAACGTTTAGGTTTAGGTTGTGTTTTTTCAGCAAACATGTGAGTTTATTTACAATGCATTTCAGTAACGTACATTAGTGTACTCTTTGTTTTTAGTGTTTTTTTATGCACAAGATGAAGATAGAACTCACAATCGTTTGTTTTATTTAGTGCTGTAAAAGTAACAATGAAGATTTAGACATGTAAATAAATAATTGTGTAAACTTAGGACGTCACATGGCTAGACATTTTGTCGAACATGTTGTAGACGACCATGATATGTGTAGCCCAGAAAATTAGTTTATAGTTGTGAAGAAGGTTGGTTAAGAAAGGTGTGTAGATTTAGTAAGAACGTACATATACATTTTGCAAAATAACCGCACGACCCTAAAATTTCAGAATTCATTTCGTTTGCTAGAAGATGGAGCATTCAATAGTTTTGAAAAGCATACCTGGGGAGATCGTGAAGTTAACAGAGTGAAAGCGGAAGAGAATTTCGGCCATGTCGTCACCCTTTTATATGTAGGAACTGTCCGTTGAAGTGTTGCCGTTGAACAATTGCACCGAATCGGCGCTTAGTAACCGCAAGACATTTAAAAAACTCCAAACGGGATGAAGACGTTGTGAGAGAGACAGATTTGTACGGAGACTATATGTAGGGTAAATAGTTGACGGAAGTTGACGGAAAAAAGACCTTGTAACCTTAGTTGACGCTTATAATATAAGCAGGATATTAATTCTAGGAACTTTGTATGAACAGAAATAAACTCAAATTGAATTGAATCGAATTGAATTGTATAGGACAACACCATTGTTATACATGCATGCTTAATTACATGCATGTTCGGCCATTAATGGTTCATCAGCTCGATTAGTCACCTTATTTTCCAAAGATTGTCTTTTTCATGAGTAATTTTGGAGCCTAGACCTAGCTTAGACGTTATCAATCGAAAATTTATACAATCGATCATATTAATAACCTTATTGTAATCTCGATTCTTGTACTTTTCTTTTGAAAGAATCTCAATATTCTTATGCTTGTTTAATTTAATGGTCCCCTTTAATTAGAGATATTACCCGAAATAGTACTAAAACAATTTGAAATTTCCAAAATAGGATTACATGTTTTTATTCCCAAAATAGAACTAATTACTGACATGTTTTGGCAGTACCAGACTTCAAACATGGCAGTAATTAGTCTTCTTTGGGGAATAAAAAACTTGACGTTCCTATTTTGGAATTTTGAAAGTGTTTTAGTCCTATTTCGAGAACTTTCCTTCATTCTTAAATAAGTGCAATTGTTCACTTTTCACATTTATGAATTATAAAGATGTTTTTGCTTGTACTGAAATTTGGTTGATCTAGTGTGGCCTGTTTTGTTCAAGTCTGGCCTACCCTGGTCAGATCTGGTTTGCTTAAGTCTTTATGATCTGGTCAGGTCTAAATGTTCACTTTTAAAGTCTTTTTGAAGTGATACACCGTTAGGCACTTAGAGCAGTCTGTCTCTCCCAAACGATATGACAGGATCTGATCTATTTAAGTCTGGTCTCATTTGGGACCGTAAATCTTTTTTCAACGTCCGTTGCTTGACAAAAGTCTAAACATTCCACATTGCTTGGACCTACATCGGTTCTCTAAGTGATGTTAAAACCCAAATTTAACCTATGTAAGAGTTCAGCTTTTTACTAGTAATTATACGCTTAATTGCGTATTGTGATCCACACATTACGTATCATCAAAATAAAATATGTAAACGAATCGTTCTTCTATTCGACTAGTGATATTTGAAATACAAGATTCCAAATACAATAAAAATAAATAATATTCAGTATGTCGATCATATCCCGATAAGATTAATAAAAAAGTGAGAAAATCGATTGGAAATAAGGAATACCTGATTCCCCATTCCTTTTCTTCGGAATACCGTCTTTTAGCAGCGCATGTTATTTCTTCGTGTCATCTACAGAAGGGAAAGATACCCGTTGGAGATAGGTTTCGTCCTAGTGACAAAACACTTGTGAAGGATTTCCTTCTTCCAAAGGTCAACAGTCTGGATTACCTGCAGTAGGAAGATCGGACGTTTACACGGTCCACCGGATATTGAAGAAGACCGTTAACCTTGGGAAGAAGGAAATCCAGACCAGAAACGTCGGAAATCCATTGGATGATGCCTTGCCGGCAAGAAACCTGCAAACCTTGGGCCTGAGGATCGGACGTTTACACGGTTTCACCCATTGGATGATGCCTTGCCAGAAACCCAGACAGCTAACCCAGGAAGAAGGAAATCGTTGAGAAGCGTTAACCTTAGGACGAAACCTATATCCGATGGGAACTTTTCCTTTCAGGGACCAGACCTTCCATAATTAATGGAAGAAATACCTAGATCTATCGATGAATATATAATTAGGGGTTTGCTTCCTGCACCCCCAAAATTTCTTAATGTAACCCTTAATGGACAAATTTAGCCTTCTTATTAACCCTAAGTGTAATTACAACGTTAATTAAAAAGGCTATGCGCACCTCCGTAGCTCCAGACTCGGCCATTCTCTTGTCCATTAGAATTTCAACCTTAGTTATACATCCAATAAAAGTGTGCCATGTGTCAAGTAATTACTTTTTTTATGAAATGTCATAACTTTTTCATTTTTACTCCAATTTTTATAGAAATTATACCAAATTAAATATTTTTTATGATCTTTCATATGACACCAATATCATATATGTAATTTAAAAAAAAAATCTGATCAAGTCTCGTGAACTGTCGACAAATGTATATTTACACATATTTAATACAGAGTACTTCGTAACTCATTAAATGTACAAAAAGAAACATATTTATTTGCAACACATGTGCCTCAAATTTATAAGGGGGTTGCTTCTTGCACCCCCATTTTTACTTTACGTAACCAAAGTATGATAAAATTGACCTTTAATTAAAATTGAGCTTTGCTTCACAACTACGGAGTATATTGGTTTTCAAATGAAAATCTTAGTCGTAGGATCACACGGCCATGTGGTAAATAATTAGATTGCCCCATATCAATTTTAAATTCACTCACCCAATAAAGAATTACTCCCTCCGTCACTCAAAACTTTGCCAAAGTTGACCGGCACGGACAATAATAAAGTAAAAAGTGTGTGGTTGAGGTTTGTGCAGAGGAGAGAGAAACAATAGAAACCAGTAAATAATTGATTAAAAGGGAAAGTGACAAAGTTTTTTGGAACGTCCCAAAAATGAAAGATGTCAAAGTTTTAAGGGACGGAGGGAGTAGTTTTCATGGTCTTTATATGTCATGTGTGTAAAATTTCAAAAATTTAACAATTTTTTGAAAAAAACATTAATATATTATTAAATGAAACGTAGTCGAAATAGAACATGTGAATATTGTAAATTTCAAAGGAAGGTAGTATTAAACTAACATTCTAAAAATATAGAGGAATTCATTTATTATGAGACATTAATTTATAATTATAAAATCAATAAGGATGTTTTTAATTGGATTGAAATTTTAGGTATAGTCAAATCTGGTATTATTCGATTTGATCTGTTTAATTTTGGTCTAGTCTGAACTGATCTGATATATTAGATGTATGTTCTATGTGTGTTATACAACTATCAAAATGTAACCTTGAATCGAAAATAGTGAAATTTAAAAATCCTAAAAAGTATCAAGTATACTTATATGATAATAGAATAAAGACAATATCCAATACAAAGATGAATGAAAAAGTAAACATGATCACACAAATATTACTGAACAATGTATGCGATAAACTTAATGAAACCGATAAAAAATAAAAACTCAAATACAAATAATAGGCATATGAAGTCAAGAATACAATTTTCTGGACAATCTTCATATTCATCCCAATTGTATAACAAGATTATAAAAAAAATATAAGAGCATTATACTCTGATACAAATATATTTGGAATTTGTAATGGGTTTTGTTGTACATTTTAAACATAAATAATTTTCAGGAATTAAGTTACTCCCTCCGTCCCTTAAAACTTTGTCATCTTTCCTTTTTGGGACGTCCCAAAAAACTTTGTCACTTTCCTTTTTAATCAATTATTTTGTGGTTACTATTATTTCTCTCTTCTCTGCACAAATCTCAACCACACAGTTTTTATTTTATTATTCTCCGTGCCGGTCAAATTTGGTAAAGTTTTAAGGGACGGAGGTAATAGATCAGTAGTAAAAATTAAGGAAATCCGGCTGCTTTGCTTTTTAAATTAAAATCTTAGGATTTAATTTTATTTAGCTGCACGTAGTAAGATTCCCATTTGAAAAGCAATATAGTTGTGATCTAGTTGTGAAGGTGCGCGCAGTAAGATTCGCGTGATGTGCTGGATAATTTCAAAATCAATATTTAGTTCAAATTTGGAAGAGGACACACATGTCCACTAAAGAAAAAGAAGAGGTGCACGCAGTAATTGTGAAGGTGCGCCAAGGACGACCGTATAATTATTAGGACTTGGGATGGATATCGGGTGTTTTCTAGATATACGGCAAATTTATGAGAATTTTTTCTAGGTTTCCTGCAGGATTCCTAAATCTGAAAGGCCTCTATCCGAATGCATGTACTCCGTAGGTCGGTTTAGAAAAAATAAAACCATTCCAAAGATGGAATTCCAAATGACTTTTTTTTATGTTATACGGACTTTGACTTTTCTTAATTCCATATTCCAAAACCATGTTGTCCAAATAGTATAGATAGAATTTACTTTTCTTAATTTTTGTTAACTTATGGTATCACATTAAATTTTATTCAGTATATGTTCTTATTATTAAATTAAATTTAAACTATTGAGAAAAACAAATATATTTCAATTTTCAAACAAGGGGAATAAAATAAACAAGATACGGCGGAATTTTGAATTTCATTTATTAGTAAATGTGTACATACAATATTAAATTTAATACACATTTTCTTATACACACATTATATACATTTTTATGAGAAAGCTTTTTTTTTACTGTAATGAGATTTACAAGAAAAGTGGTCTTTTCACAGAGGTGTGTATAAGAAAGTGTGTACAAACAGAATTTTCTATTTTTGGTGTCCTTTGTGCGTTTGGGTACTTGGTCTACTCACTATAGCTACTTCATTATCACACAACCCTCCCAAATGTTAGAGAGATTCAAGTAATAAAATTAAGATGTCATTGTCTAAATAAATGAAACATGTCAAAAAAAACTTATTTTAACAATCAGATTTTAATTTTAGTACTCCAATTTTTTAAAATAAAATTGGATCTGAAAACTTTTTACAATTGAAACTTCAATTTGTTGGCAAAACTTTATATATTCAATATTAGTGTCACTAAAAAGATAATAAAGGATTTCACATAAAGGATTAAACCCTAAATCATTCACAAATAGGACTAAACATTAATTTTCTACCCTAAATACCCCCGAGAGTATTATTCATAAAATGTTATAATTGATACTAAAATCTTTTAAAAAGAATAAAAATCGTAAGAGATAATAACAAATTAATTCATTTATAAATAAAATTTTATAAAAATTGAAGAAAAAAACTAAAAGATTAATAACAAATAGTTAGACCCATAAAAAAATTTAAACAAATATGGATGTCTTTCCCACCGTCTCTTTTTCGATCGGTGAACAATGCCATTTTTGCAAAAAAATATGTTATTCTTTTTTTAAAATGCTAAGAAAATGGCATTATTACTCTTTGATAATGTCAAAACTTTCATTGAAACTGCCATCAATATGACATTACTAATGTTTGTTGGCATTTTTTTATGTGATCACAGCTGGTGGTGCTAGGGGTGGTAGAGGGAGTGGTGTGTTTTTTTAACTTTTTTTATTTTTTTAAACTTTTATTATTTTTAAAAAAATGGATTAATTACTAGGTAATTAATCCAAAAGTATACTGTAACACCCCGGCCCTGCAGGACCCGAGCTAGTTACTTCTGACCACCTCCGGACCTCTAGTACTGTCCTCACAAACCTCCACTAGCCTTTAACACGCACTTTGTCCTCACTCATGCACACCCTGAGAAACTTCCCTTAAAAGAAGATGCATCTTGTTGGTATGAGTAGTACTATTAATCCGTTTGAATTAAATCTCAAGTATTACAATCACCCTCACTTAGGAACGCAACGTCCTCGTTGCGCCCATAAACCAATCTCAATCAAATCCCAGAATCATACCCCGCTAAATGCCCACCCGATATCCAATAGGTCAACACACTATCGCAAGGTTGCTCTGATACCACTTGTAACACCCCGTGTAATACCCGAGATTAATTTAAGAGGATTAATAGTACTACTCATACCAACAAGATGCATCTCCTTTTAAGGGATCCCATCACCTAAGAACTCCAAAGTTAAGCGTGCTTACACGGGAGTAGTCTTGGGATGGGTGACCCCCTGGGAAGTTTCTCAGGGCGCGCACGAGTGAGGACAAAGTGCGCGGAAAAGGCTAGTGGCAGTTTGTGAGGACATTACGAGAGGTCTGGAGTAACTACCTCGGGTCCTATGGGGGCCGAGATGTTACAAATGGTATCAGAGCAACCCTACGACAGTGTGATGATCCGTTAGATATCAGGCGGGCACTTAGCAGGGGAAAAGATTCTAGGATATGATTGAGATTGGTTTATGGGCGCAACGAGGACGTTGCGTTCCTAAGTGGGGGTGATTGTAATACCCGAGATTAATTTAAGAGGATTAATAGTACTAGTCATACCAACAAGATGCATCTCCTTTTAAGGGAGCTCATCACCTAAGAACTCCAAAGTTATGCGTGCTTGCATGGGAGTAGTCTTGGGATGGGTGACCCCCTGGGAAGTTTCTCAGGGCGCGCACGAGTGAGGACAAAGTGCGCGGAAAAGGCTAGTGGCGGTTTGTGAGGAAAGTACTAGAGGTCTGGAGTAACTACCTCGGGTCCTACGGGGCCGGGGTGTTACACCCCGGTCCTGCAAGACCTGAGGTAGTTACTTCTAACCTCCTTCCGGACCTCTAGTACTGTCCTCACAAACCTCCACTAGCCTTTAACTCGCATTTGTCCTCACTGATGCACGCCTTGAGAAACTTCCCAGGGATCACCCATCCCAAGACTACTCCCGTGAAAGCACGCTTAATTTGGAGATATTAAGTGATGAGCTCCCTCAAAAGGAGATGCATCTTGTTTGTAAGAATAGTACTATTAATCCGTTTGAATTAAATCTCAAATATTACATATACATTGGATGTAATCCAAATGTCCAGTGTCCTAATGGAAGGGAAAGATACCTAGATATAGGTTCATGCCAAGTGACAAAACGCTTATGAAAGATTCGCTTCTTCATTCCAAAGGTTAAAGGTTTGGGTTTTGGCAAGGTCTCTGTTGAGAAAATGATAAAAGCTTGTAGATTGGACTGCATGTGATGTCTACGTGGCCATGCACACGTTGAAGTAGTCTTATTATTTATTTTTTATTTGGTTACTAGTTTATAGTTGAATAAGTCTTGAGATGGTAACATAACTCTAGGAGTTGTTTAGTCTATCTATTTCTTGTTTGTTAGATGTGAAGCATGACACTCTTATAGGAGTTAAGTTTTTGCTATTTTATGCATGGTTGTTTTTTTTTGAGAGAATTTTATGCATGGCTATTATATAGCCTCTTATTTAGTAATGATACGTGTGAGTTGCATCTATTTTCTATCTTAATTTTCATTGTTTGAGCTCAACATTTGGTATCAGTGCGTAAGGACAATCCAAACCCCTATTTGGAAGTCTCAAATTTGTGAGAAAGAGAGTTCATACGGAAAAAAAGGAGAGAAACAATGCAAAGCTCAAGCAATGGAAACTCTGCCAATCAACTACCTTTGTTTAAAAGAGTTAATTATCATTTTTGGAATTTGAAGATGAAAACACTCTTCAAATCTCAAGAATTGTGGAGTATTGAAGAAGATGGATTTGCAGATGACCAACCGGAGGAGCCTGATCAAATTTTGAGAGATAAAAGAAAGAAGGATGCAAAAGCCCTATATCTGATCTCATTCAACAAGCTCTAGATGATGATGTTTTCCCTCATATAACTGTTGCCTCAACCTCAAAGGAAGCTTGGAGTATTCTTAAAAAGGAATACTTAGGAGACAAGAAGGTAATCATGGTGAAATTACGGTCTCTTTGAAGGGAGATGGAGAATGCACGTATCAAAGATATAGAAACTGTGCAGGATTATGTTTCAAGGATTACTACTATTGTGTAGCAAATGAAATCTTATGGAGAAGATATTAAGCCTTAGCAGGTGATGAGTAAGGTAATGAGAAGTCTCACACCCAAGTATGGTCAACTTGTGACAGCCATTGAAGAGTCTAAGGATCTAAAAGAGCACACATTTGAGGAGGTGAAAGGATCTCTTCAAGCATATGAAGAGAGGGGCAACCTTGAAAGTGATAAGGCTGTAGAGCAAGCCTTTCAAGATAAAGGGGACATATTCAAAGACAGATCATCCTAACTTTCAAGCAGAGCAAGAAGGTGAGGTAGAGGAGGCTATAGGGGAGGCTATAGAGGGAGAGGTAGAGGAAGGAGTCAGAACAATGGAAGAAGACAGAAGTTCAATACTAACCACTCTAGAAGCCCATTTAAATGTTACTATTGTAACAAGCCTGGTCACAAGGAAGCTCAATGCTGAAGAAAGAAGAAGATAAGGAGCAAGGGCAGACTGACCCAAAGTCAAACTATGCTGAGCAAGAGAATCTATTCGTGGCTCAACATAATTCTGACAATGGAGGTATGTCCATATGGTATGTTGATAGTGGATGTTCAAATCACATGACCAGTTCTAAGGGCATGTTCAAGGAGATGGATGAGTCCAAGAAGAGTATTGTAAGACTTGGAGATGACAAGCAACTCAATGTGGAAGGGCTTGGCACAATCTCACTACACACTGACCAAGGCAAGGTAAAACATTTGCACAATGTTCAATATGTGCCTCAACTTGCCCATAACTTGTTAAGTGTTGGTCAGAAGTGTTGTCAGCTTGTATGTGGAGGCTATTCTTTTATCTTTGAGAATGATATATGTGTGATCAAAGATAAAAGGAATGCTGAAGTTTTCATGAGAATCACAATGGGAAAGAATAAAGTCTTTCCATTGGATCTCTCAGATTATGGTGGAAGAGCACTTGTTGTAAAAGGAGAGGAGAATGCTAAACTATGGCATCTCAGATTTCTTATTTCATAAGAAATGGTACATGGTCTACCAAAAATTGGAGATTTGCAGCTTTGTGAGAGTTGAATCGGCTAAATCAGCTAATTTTGCTATTTAAACCATGTATGGTAACACCAAAATTAGCTGAATCGGCTAATTTTGCTAAATTTGATGAATCTTTGGCTGAAGTGTCTACTGAGTCTGCCTAACTATTAAAAAATATTGAAAATATATTTATTTATAAAGTCATGAAAACAATATATGAAAAATAGTTAAAATGATTGTATATGACTATTCTGCTAGCAATAGTTAAAATTAGCTCGATTACTATGTTTTGATTTTTTAAAATATAATTGTATATGACTATTCTGCTAGTAATTTTATAGTTAATTTGTAAATGCTTTCTTATCACTATTAGAACATTTCCAATGCAACAATGTGGACGGTGCACATGTGGCATGAGAGATAACCACATAAATATTAGTAAATAAATTATTTATCTCCTTACTTAAATGATTTTATACAATTTTGGTAAATTTTTCTCTACAATGTCAACCACATGTGCACGGTGTCCTTGACATTGTGAAAAAACTTACAAAAATCAATAAAATTGTTCAAGTAAGGAGAGAGATAAATAATTTATTTGTTAATACTTATGTGGCTATGTCTCATGCTACATGTGCATTGTGCACATTGTAGCATTGGTGATTCTCTTATAGTTTCACATGTGCTTTTGGAATTAGGAGGTGTTTGGATATGATTCTTAAAACTGCTTCTACTCATTCAGGGAGCAGAAGTAGAAGTTGGAATGTTTGGGTGAAAATTCATAAGTGATTTTGATGCTCTAATTTACTTCTAGAATCAATTTATTTAGAAGATGGGGAAGCAAAATCAGTTCTAAATTCCAAACACCTCTTTAGAACGACATGGTTAAGGTTAATGTATTCTGCAGGTAGGGTTGAGGCACGATAAATACTCAGTAGTCACTAGTAATATGTAATTTTATGAAAGTACTCAAACTATTTATATAAAAACAAAAACAAAAAACTTTAGATACCTATTAATATTGAGACATAGGCATGGATCGGGCCCGAGCCGGGCCGGTTCAAGTCGGGCTTTTTTTCGAGGATGTTGGGCCCGAAATAGGCGTGGGTTGATACCGGGTCCAGGCCAAACCGGGCCGAGCTGGTCCGAGCCCGGTTCAAGGTAATTTTTTTTTGCTTTGTAATTAACCCTCGACCCCCCTCCCTCACTCCCACCCCCAACCCCCCCCCCCCCCCCAAACACCCAGCCCTACCCAAGGAAAAGAAAAAAATTGAAAAAAAGAATTGAGAGGAGGAGGAGGAGGCCTGTGGTCGACGGTGGAGTTGCGGTGCGTGGCCATAGCCGATGGAGGAGCTGCTGTCAAGGGATGTGCAGAGCTGCTGCTACGATGAATTCATCGTAGATTGCAGAAAGGGGTCATCGATGTGCTGCCGATGTGCATGGCCAGTGACGAATTGCAGAAGGAGGCGAGAGATGGGTTTTAATAGCAGAATGGCAAAAGTGTAATGTGGAGTCCCATTTAGGTAATTTAAAACTTGAAGTCCTTATTTGGAGTTTTAACCATATTTTAATCCCATTTAATATAATTTCTTATAATTTAATTATTAAGAAAATTGAATATATGTGATTAATATTGAATTCTTTGGGAAAAAATGTGATTAATATTGAGTTGATAAAATAAAAGTAAGAATCATTTATCACCACACAAACTTTACTAAATTCGATATGAAACAATCTTAATGAGACCGCTCGAAAAGGAAAGATAAAACAATTATAGGTCAACAAAAGGAGTAACAAATTTGTCCATTGATGGGCCGAGGTTGAAATTTACTCATTTGTCCCAAAAATCTTCTCAGATTGACTAGGCACATTTATCAAATGGTTAAGGCAGAATAAGGTATACAATATTAATTATTAACCATACAAATCATTCCTTGAAAAGATATGGAACTTTTTTAAAACATCTCGATGATATAAATGACCATGCAATCGATGATAAAGTAGCACACAAAAATGAACACTTGAAATTGAGTGTTCTGTATATATAAAAAATGAGTATTCTGTATATATAAAATGAGTATTTATAAGGAAAAAAACACATACATAGATGCAAAATAGATACTACCCACTTTCTGACAATCAAGATAGCATTCCACAAACCAACTCTTCAAGATGCTGATAAATGAAACAGGTGAGGGGGGCTTTCACCGCTTCCTTTCTTGCCTCCACTTGAAAACTGGTTTCTCTGTAGGGGTGACAATCTCATCCTCGCGAAGTTTGCGTTTTCTTCCCTTTTTCTGGTGATGCAAAGGAATAAATACTTTTGAGATGCTTCGAAAATAAAACCACACACAAATATGTAAATGCAAATCAGGTAAAAGAGACCTGAAATTCTTTTTGCATTGCCATATCCATATACACTTTCTCCAAGGTCTTCACTCTGCTGTTTCTCATCTCAAGCTCTCTATAGGATGAAGCCATTTTCCTGAAAAGGAAGCACAATGAATGACGCAAAAGAGAAGAGTTAAAAGTGGCATAAAACTAATGAAACTAGAATCCAAGGAAATGCAAACAGGGATAATTTTGTGAAAATGATAATGATCATAGGATAATTTTAGAAGAAAATGTGGGGGGAACATGATACTGATTCAAAATCAATAGTCATTTGGGCAAGTTATAATTGCCTTGTGTCTTTATCAGACTGCAATTATAGTTGGGAATCTCCCATCAATTGAAAGTATGAAAAACAGACTAAATGGGAGACTCTCAAGCGTCAACCAAAATATATAGTAAAAGCTTCTTCATAGCAGTACTTCAAAGAAAGAGACAGATTTTCAGCAATCAAAGTTCCAGATATTAAACATAAAACACATTATTACACAGTAATTCAATTTATGATGTTGTTTGATGGAAGATAAAATCATAAACGGATAATACCACCATATTGCTCCCTGTGGTAAATACAAGGAAACTCCAGTTAGTAAAGTGTTTCCATGTTTCTCCCTATAACCAGGAAGTTTTCATTAAAAAAAGTTGACACACCAATATTACTGTATACAAGAAAAATGTCTTTATAATTAATACGTTGGACTCATTATAAATAAAGAAAAATTGTACCCACAAACACTTTTCCTAGAAGAAAACACACTTCTTTGATATTGAATTACAAATAAAAGAACGTAAAAAATCAACAGCAATGAGTAATTAACCTTCATTCACCACACTTAAATTTATGCGCCATGTACCTTTTTGGACATGTATTTTATACTCAAAATGCAAATTTTAGTATTGTTATTACGAATGTTTATAATGTTTTACACAGCTTGTAAGTTGTGAAAAAACAAATATATTGTACACATATTTTCAAGGAAAATGCATGTTATCATGGTACTCCATGTCCTTTACTGTTTAACTGGTTTCTCATTTCCCATTTTCTGTTTCCCATGTCACCACCAGTCCCACCCACCCACCCATCTATTAACGAATTATCTTGAGAGAGAAATGTGTAGAACCACAAATTAGTTGTTTTAATAGGAAAGTGGCAAAGTTTTTTGGGACAACCAAAAAAGGAAAGTTGGCAAAGTCCAATGGAACAGAGGGAGTATAAAAATGGGGGGCACAAGAGGCAAAATAATATTTAAAAATTATAGGTTACAACGTTACACGTAGTTTTTTAAGTGCATTCTTTATTACCTTAATTGATGGGGGCAGTGACTAGTGAGCCTCAATTCATCATCCAAAACATTATATCGTCCGACACACAAAGCTTGTATAGCAGTTGTATAATGTCAGAGGTTAATGGCTCTTATTTATTTTATTATAGAACCGCTTCTCGGATGATAGCACATCAGGCTGAAAGTAATTCTCACTGTGCTTATGAGGCACACACGAGAACATCACAAATGCAATACGTGAAGACGCAAGTACATGACTATAAAACTAGAAAATGCATGTTATTAGCCTACATAATTTTGAACATATAATTTAAATCGCATCTAAAATACATATTCCAAGAGAAAAATGGAAATTGATGCTCACCTTGTAATACTGTCAGGCAGCTCATTGGGAGTCGGCATGATACCATGTTCTGATATTCTTGATTTAATCGCTTCCGCCTCCTCTCTAAAAGTATGTAGGCAATTTAGAAGAGTACTAACTTTCATAAAGCACTACAAAGTAGAGCACTCCATCCCGAAAATTTGCTCTCTTTTAACACTTTTTTACCTAAAAATACCCGTCTATGAACAGTACAAGCTATTTTTCATGTATTTTAAATTTCATTTAGTTTAAAATTCGAAATGTTTCCCAAACAAATTAAAAAAGCTGAATTTAGTTAATTCAGTAAAAATATATCAAAAATCTAGCTAGAATTGATGATTCCCAATAGTTATATTTTACTACAATTCAAAAAATTATGCCTTAGTGAAACAGATTCCTTTTATTGGGAAGGAGGTTGTATAAATTACAAAATTCTTGATAAGGAAAGAAAAGATATAATACTTCATAGAAAAAATATTTAAGAAAAGGAAGATGGTTGGATCTTGCTCCCCAATTAATCTGAAACCCCATTTAATTAGCATTAGGTATGAAAAGAAACAAAACTTAAAGAACACCTTGAAGCCTGAAAGGCTTGTGTAATTTAGCATATAAAACTATGCATTAACTAACTGTAGATGTGGTTGCTTATGTGGATTCTATTTCTCCATCCAGGTCTCCCTTAAAGAAAGTCTGTGTCATAAACCCTTGTAATACACCAATCGGAAATTTTGTTAAATTTTATTACACAGCCAATAACAAACTATTGGCTATGTAAATTTTGGTTAATGATTATTTTGTATGCAAATACTTTTAGGCAATAATGCCCTCAACCTAAAACATATTCATTTCATTTTCTATTTGGTTTTCCATTGCTTCACCAAAAGCTTAACAAGAAGAAATATTAACAATTGGTATATAATAGGCATACCTTTTGCATAATCTTCTTTTAAGACTACTAGTCGGTAGTAACTATCGTGAACTCCTTATAGTACATTGGGTTGAAAGAAACACAAAATGGTGCTATCTTAAAAGAATTTCATAATTTCAACTCTAAGGTTGAAGCACATTCATGCTTATACTTGTTCAAATTTTCAGCAAAAGAAAGAAGTGAAAGGCCACCAAAGCACATCACAAGCCAAGTCCTGCACCTCTTTAAAGTTGTTTCATCAGGAAAAGAACCCCTTTGTTTCAGCTTTTACTGTGGTGAGTTAGAATATATTGCACAAAATACCCAGCGCAATTTGGTGTCTTACCACACTCTGTGTTGAGATTGCTGAGGTATGAAAGCTTCTCAGTTCTCACCCCTCTTTTCCACCGCAACTTGATACTTCCAGTGAAGTGGGTTTTTGTTTGTATTATTTTTCAAACTTATTTTTTATCATATTTCTCTAATTCATTAAAAAGTATTCTTTAACACTATTTTAAAATATTCTAGCGGCAGTATGATAGCTATCAAACAAATATCAGATTGACATATGTGTTTCATGACTTCATCTCACAGTTCTAATTACTAATCTTGCTGCAGCATCAATTTTAAACTCAACTTTAACAGAGGGGCTATAAAGATACTCTTTTTCTACTATTTCTATGTTTCTTTTTACATTAAACATCCAAACTACCAGAAGATGTTACACATTTGGTATAGCTTGATCAAGTAAATGCTTGTATAAGGTAATACAAAGAGAAAATAAGAATCTAAATAGCTACTTCACCTACAATGAAATTCGATTGCCGTCATAAGAGCGATAAACTAATTTTGAGATCAGCAGAAAGACAACTCCAGTAACGCAAATCAAAAGCATGAAAAAACTCGTAGTACCTACCTGTCCTCAGCATAGTAGACACGTTTATTTGATGGCGGATTATCAAGAGATTGTAGCATTGCAGTAAGCTTTTCTGTTTTCTACATTAAGAAACAATAGCATTACATTTACAAGAGTCCACATGCATGACATTACAATATGATCAAGGAAAAATAGGGCAATAGTAAGCCAAAACCTTCTTCTCAGTCTGGAGTTTCTGCAGAATATAACCCATGTCTTGAGTTTTCATTAGCATTAGTTCTTCTGGAGTATATTTATTTGCTTCACTCCTTCAACAGTTAAACACAAGAAAGATTATACTACTAGCAAAGGATGATAAAACTACAAGTGTATCAATAATATACAATCATGATTGATATCTTACGCTAGTTGATGCACTCCATTAACAGTTTTTGTTTTAATCATCCCAAAGTAAAACTCATCTGGATTCCGGAATGCAGCTTTTTCCTTGAGTTTCTGTATAAAAACGCGAGTATTGTGTGCATAAAGCCATTATCATCACACTTTCTATTAATTGTTGAGACTTTAAATTCATCACACTTTCAAAGAGAGCTACAACTTCAATGCACTTGCCTGTAATGCGTCTTCCTTTTTGTGGTAAGCTTCTGCACGCTTAACATAGTCTTTTTTCTTCTCGAGCAGGCCGAATTTCTTCCGCGATTCTCTGCCAGAGTGCCAGTATAAGAAACACAATCATCATGGACAGTGCTCAGGTTCGAATTTTAAACGAATGGATACAACAAGATACCGAACAGTCACTTACGGCTGAGCTCGTTCCTTGTGAGCTCTCCTTGGAATGGCATTCTTAAACGAAGACATCTTCAGATATCGCCGAGGGGTTCTTCGTTTTCACACGGGCCCAGCCTTGACAAATAGAAGGCCCTGTTCTGAAGCTGAGAATAATACGTACAACAAATTTGAACAATTAAAAATTTTACCTCAACACTGAAGAGGCTAGAGAATAGATGCGCCGTGCGTCGACGGCCGACCAGCGGAAGAGGACGAGCGGATTGAGTAGGGAAGATGGTGAACGGAAGAGCTCGATGCTAGTCTGCGGTCGTTGCTTAGGACGTGTGAATGTCTAATTCGGCATTTGGGCCTTTTTTCGGGCTTTGTAGAATGTAATTGCGTACGGACTGCTATGGATGCTATTGTAGGACGGCTATGTATTATGGACGCCCCTGGTTATATCTGCGCCCGGCGGCCCACGGCCCACGCTTCTGCCTTCAAGGAGAATTCGGAATTGTTTGTACATCAATATGAATGGGAGTCTCACATCTCTGGGGTTAGACTACTCTCGAGGAAAATAAAATGTCAGATAATATGTGTATCAAATTTTGTTATAAAAAATCAGATACCTTTACACAGTCCAACTCAATATTCCTCATTAGCATCACTGGTATATCAACTTTTAGCTTCAACTCGTGACTTGTCACATCAAAATATTTTATGCCGTTAAAGAATTCGTGAAGTCAATTCTTTGAAGGAGCTCGTTGTCTGAGGTTGTCTACATGGAAAGAAAAGGAGAATTAAGTACTAACTAAATTCAATGATTAAAATTAAATAAACAAAAAGTACAGTAAATGTGTAAGATTGGATTTTTTGGATTAAAAGCAACTAAAATAAAGCCAATTAAAGGATTCTTTGATAAACCCTAAACCCTAAACCCTAAAATTACAAATGATTTATGAAAAATGAAAATTTTCATATTTTTTCAAACTTTTATGAAAAACTTTGATTATCCAAAAAATTTCATACTATGGTGAATTGAAAATAATTTGAGAACGAAAATAAATTATGAAAGTTGAACATTCACACGAGTACACGAAGAGAATGAAAAATTATGAAATTTGATATTTGATGGAGTATATGGCCCGGGAACCCCCGACCCACAGACTCCTACTACTCCAATAAAGGCCCAATAGGCCCAGGAAGCACAACAGGCCCAAATCACGGCGCCCAGGGTACCAAGCAGCCCACAATGCGCATCAGGGGTGCCTTCGGCCCCCTGGCCGAAGGCTCTGAACCTCACAGAAGGGCCAAAACAGGAAGACAAGGTTACTGGGAGAAAACGGCAAAAATCAGTAGCCCTCGGCACCTAGAGCCCTCGACACTAAGGGGGTCCCCGGCACTCAGAGCCCTCGGCTAATCACCTATAGCCGAGGGCACCTTTTCCGACATAATATCCGCTCCACATGCGTATAGATCACCGTACCCAGTACGACGTCACATCCAACAGCCGCATTAAATGCGGCCACATGCGGTTGCCAGCGCCAACCAGTTGAGGTGACCCCTCGGCCAATGGGTGCTTGACACGTGTCCCTGTCTGGCATTTATTACTACTATAAATAGCACCTCATTTCCCCATTTGTAACCAAGACACAAGACGCTGAAAACGCTGAACACATTTCTAATATACTCTCTCTCTCTCTACTTACTTGCTCTGACTTTTCTCTAGTTATTCTCCGCAATAACCCCTCGGATAAGCTAATCCCTCGAAGGGAGGTCCTAAAAGCTCTAAGCTACGGGCACTTAATCTAAGGCCGAAAGGTGAGAAGGAAGGAAAGTATGCAAGAATGACCGAAAGCGGGGCAAGAACTGACCTTGAAAGTTGGGGATTCGACCGATGGCTGGATTTTCTCTCTCTAGAAATTTGGGCAGAGCTTCGCTAACAAATGATCGCACAAGAGGGATGATGCCTGACCATGGGGTATTTATAGGCGCCCAGATCCGGGCTTGGGCCCAAAAACCGGGCCTCTGGTCACCAAGTCATCATTACAAACCGTGGTTTCGACCAATCGGTAACGCCGCCCGCGGGCAGCCAACCGTCGCGCGCCACGTGTGCCCCCCCTCAACGGCTATATAGTGTGTTAGATATTCCAACGACTATATTCTCAACGGCTATATTCTAGGAGCCTCCGGCTACATTTAGCAGCCCACTCCTTCATCAACCAAGGAACTAGCCCCCGGGCTTTTTGCTTCGCGCCACTTCATCAAGAAGAGCCCCCGGGTACACTTACCCAGAGACGCTCCCGGTTTGTGCCCCACACACTACATAACAAATGCCTTCGGGCTCACCCCATCAGAATCCCATGGCTTCATAACAGGCACACCCCTCGGGGATCCCCCTCAGCACTTTGAGGACCGGGTAGCCCCCGGGGAGTACACCTCATTGGCAGATAGCCTACGGCACACAGGTAACGGGAGCCCTCGGATACCCTCCCCACCAACTAATCAACAAACAGGGGACACCCCGGTAACACCTCAACTACTACTCACATTCATCACGCCCTCGATCCCCAGATTGAGGGACTCCCCTTCGGCACCTCCCGGGATAATTAACAGCAAGCCTCCGGCTAATTAACACCCGCGCCCTCGGAGTAAGGATAGCCTTCGGCACCAACATTGCACTCCATTTCAAACCAGGGCTTCGCGTTTTCGATTCATCATTGGGGGAATTCGGTGCACTCTTTTTCCCTCATTAGGATTTTTTCCCACAGGGTTTTTCCTGATGAGGTTTTTAACGAGGCATCCCCCCAAAATGAAACGAAAAGCGTCAGCCTTCGGCCCAATACAGCAACATGATTACTCTACTCATTTTCACCACTTTGCAAGTGCCTCAAGGAGTGGGGGACTGGATGACCCCCTCGGGAAAATCACAAAATTCACAAACATGCCCCCTCAAGTCCCGATATGTGGGTAACTGGGGGACTGCCCTCGGCAGAGTAAACAAACGGCAAACTACCCACAACTCTACAAACTACAACGGAACAACGGCAGAGGACAAACACAATTACTCCTTTTCCCTCAACTACCTTTCGGCAAAAGGAGTGAGGGACTCCTGATGGAGTATATGGCCCGGGAACCCCGGGCCCACAGACTCCTACTACTCCAATAAAGGCCCAATAGGCCCAGGAAGCACAACAGGCCCAAATCACGGCGCCCAGGGTACCAAGCAGCTCACAATGCGCACCAGGGGTGCCTTCGCCCCCCTGGCCGAAGGCTCTGAACCTCACAGAAGGGCCAAAACAAGAAGACAAGGTTACTGGGAGAAAACGACAAAAATCAGTAGGCCTCGGCACCTAGAGCCCTCGGCACTAAGGGGGTCCCCGGCACTCAGAGCCCTCGGCTAATCACCTACAGCCGAGGGCACCTTTTCCGACATAATATCCGCTCCACATGCGTATAGATCACCGTACCCAGTACGACGTCACATCCAACAGCCGCATTAAATGCGGCCACATGCGGTTGCCAGCGCCAACCAGTTGAGGTGACCCCTCGGCCAATGGGTGCTTGACACGTGTCCCTGTCTGGCATTTATTACTACTATAAATAGCACCCCATTTCCCCATTTGTAACCAAGACAAGAGACGCTGAAAACGCTGAACACATTTCTAATATACTCTCTCTCTCTACTTACTTGCTCTAACTTCTCTCTAGTTATTCTCCGCAATAACCCCTCGGATAAGCTAACCCCTCGAAGGGAGGTCCTAAAAGCTCTAAGCTACGGGCACTTAATCTAAGGCCGAAAGGTGAGAAGGAAGGAAAGTATGCAAGAATGACCGAAAGTGGGGCAAGAACTGACCTTGAAACTTGGGGATTCGACCGAAGGTTGGATTTTCTCTCTCTAGAAATTTGGGCAGAGCTTCGCTAATAAGTGATCGCACAAGAGGGATGATGCCCGGCCATGGGGTATTTATAGGCGTCCAGATCCGGGCTTGGACCCAAAACTGGGCCTCCGGTCACCAAGTCATCATTACAAACCGTGGTTTCGACCAATCGATAACGCCGTCCGCGGGCAGCCAACCGTCGCGCACCACGTGTGCCCCCCTCAACGGCTATATAGTGGCGTTAGATATTCCAACGGCTATATTCTCAACGGCTATATTCTGGGAGCCTCCGGCTACATTTAGCAGCCCACTCCTTCATCAACCAAGGAACTAGCCCCCGGGCTTTTTGCTTCGTGCCACTTCATCAAAAGAGCCCCCGGGTACACTTACACAGAGACGCTCCCGGTTTGTGCCTCACACACTACATAACAAATGCCTTCGGGCTCACCCCATCAGAAGCCCACGGCTTCATAACAGGCACACCCCTCGGGGATCCCCCCTCAGCACTTTGAGGACCGGGTAGCCCCCGGGGAGTACGCCTCATTGGCAGATAGCCTACGGCACACAGGTAACAGGAGCCCTCGGATACCCTCCGCACCAACTAATCAACAAACAGGGGACACCCCGGTAACAGCTCAACTACTACTCACATTCATCACGCCCTCGATCCCCAGATTGAGGGACTCCCCTTCGGCCCCTCCCGGGATAATCAACAGCAAGCCTCCGGCTAATTAACACCCACGCCCTCGGAGTAAGGATAGCCTTCTGCACCAACATTGCACTCCATTTCAAATCAGGGCTTCGCGTTTTTTGATTCATCATTGGGGGAATTCGGTGCACTCTTTTTCCCTCATTAGGATTTTTTCCCACAGGGTTTTTCCTGATGAGGTTTTTAACGAGGCATCCCCCCAAAATGAAACGAAAAGCGTCAGCCTTCGGCCCAATACAGCAACATGATTACTCTACTCCTTTTCACCACTTTGCAAGTGCCTCAAGGAGTGGGGGACTGGAGGACCCCCTCGGGAAAATCACAAAAATCACAAATGTGCCCCCTCAAGTCCCGACATGTGGGTAACTGGGGGACTACCCTCGGCAGAGTAAACAAACGGCAAACTACCCACAACTCTACAAACTACAATGGAACAACGGCAGAGGACAAACACAATTACTCATTTTCCCTCAAATACCTTTCGGCAAAAGGAGTGAGGGACTCCTGATGGAGTATATGGCCCGGGAACCCTTGGCCCACAGACTCCTACTACTCCAATAAAGGCCCAATAGGCCCAGGAAGCACAACAGGCCCAAATCACGGCGCCCAGGGTACCAAGCAGCCCACAATGCGCACCAGGGGTGCCTTCGCCACCTGGCCGAAGGCTCTGAACCTCACAGAAGGGCCAAAACAGGAAGACAAGGTTACTGGGAGAAAACGGAAAGAATCAGTAGCCCTCGGCACCTAGAACCCTCGGCACTAAGGGGGTCCCCGGCACTCAGAGCCCTCGGCTAATCAC